GCTATCAAAATGTACCACTAGATCTTCAAGAACAGGGCAAATAGTTAGAAGCTTTCGAAGAGATCTCCATCTAAGTATCTATCTATTAGAAGTTGTAAAATTTTCAGAGAGGGAAGACAAACCCTGCGAGGAACATCCAAACGAATCCTACCACGGAGTTTCAAGGTCACGAGCGATTTGCAGGTATACAAGCTACTCGGTAATATATATGGCTTGTTGGAATAACGATAAGTAATTTTCAGTTTGGTTAGGTGGCGAGAAAGTGCAACTACAAGCCACAGCTTGATATCTTCAGGTTTAAAACAGGAAGATTCCAAGAAGAGATGGAAGCTTTCGATAACCGGAGCTCTATGTAATGGCAGATTTCTATTAAGAAAACGTTGTAAACTATTTTCCTCAGACGCTAAACCATATCTACCATAGAACTTGAGTTTTGGCAACCACATCCAAAGACACTCCCATCGTTTTGACAAAATGCTCGTGGATACAGCAACTTCTGTTGGAAGAAACGATAATATCTTAATCAGCAAGTCATCTGATAACCCACTGATTTTGTCCATAGCCCAAGATACTGTCTTTTTTTGGATATGATCTTCTTTCTTCTACCTGGAAAATGAAAAACCAAGTAAGCACCAGTAAGACTCAAAAAAGGATTTTTTTATGTCTGTGTTGGAGTTGAATAAGTCATCAAAGACTAAGTCACTATTAGTTAGTGATGTTGAGTCAATCAATAAGGCGTAATCGTAGGAACTAAGCCACGTTCAAATCTGTTTCCTTAGTTTTCTCATTTCAGTTGTTGTAAGGCTATTTAAATGCCATTTCGATTTCTTTCTAATGAATCAGAGATTCTTTTCTCAAAACCTGCAACTCTTATTTTAACATTGTGGTATCAGAGCCCTCTCAAAAGGGATCTGACGGAGTGAGAAACGAGTGTGTATTTTGAGTGAGTGTGAGAAAAGAAATCAGTGTGAGAGATGGCAGCTGAATCAAGTAACTTCAGTGCCCCGTGTGTGCCAAAATTCGATGGAGATTACGACCATTGGAGTTTACTAATGGAGAACCTGTTGCGTTCAAAGGAGTATTGGTGTGTGATTCAACCTGGTTTTAAGGAACCCGGAGAAGGAGAAGTGCTGTCCGCAGCACAACAGAAGGTGTTAGATGAAGCAAGGCTAAAGGACTTGAAGGCAAAGAACTATCTCTTCCAGTCCATTGACAAGTCGATCTTGAAGACCATCACTCAAAAGGAGACCGCTAAGCTTTTATGGGATTCCATGAAAGTCAAGTATCAAGGCAATGAAAGGGTGAAACGTGCGCAGCTACAGAGACTTCGTAGAGTTTTCGAAACCTTAGAGATGAAGGTGGGAGAAACAGTGACAGATTATTTCGGGAGAGTCATGGTGACATCAAACGATATGCGGAACTACGGAGAAACATGGAAGATGTGAGAATTCATTT